ATGATCACTTTTTTATATAGCACTTATTGATTCATGTTGGACGAAGCTGCATTTTTATTTACAATGTAATATTTATTTACTATATTTAATTATTTATTTTCTTAATTATTCTATTTTTTTATTATTAACTTATTCATTTTATCTGTAGCATTACACCAGCTTTTGGCCCGCAGCCGGAGTTCCCATTAACCTTTATTATTTTAAATAAACTGTCTTGAAAAATCTGGGGTGAGCTATGTTTTATTTATAAATCAGAGCAAGTTTTATATTGGGGGTTGGAATTGTACATCATAAGTCACTCGACATCAAAGAATTGCATGTTTTAAAATTACTTATTTATATTTTATGATTTTTATGAACTCGTGATTTCCCTTTAATTGTTTATTTTTTTTTATTGTTCTATGTACTTTTAATGAGTTGTCATTCAGCACTTTTGCAAGCATTTATTTATTTATTTATATATTTTAAAAGCTTCTTTTATGTCGGTTTTCTTAATCCAACCCTAGCACTTATTTTCATTTATTTTATACAAATTTTATCTTGCTCCTTTTTATTTACAGCTACCCTAAGATGTAAATTTGGAGACCCTGGGAAGCTGGAGGACTTTGTTTAAGACCTACTTCCCACTGCCAAACTGCCCTGGGCCCAATCTACTTTGCATTTTTTTAAATAAAATTTAATAGGGCTTTTAAGGATCTATTTGGTTTTAAACACAAAAATTATTTTAAGTATCTTATGGATATATATAGCCCCCAAGAGCCCATGCCCCCCGGAGTGCTCTCTTTAGAGCACTGCGCTTTTAGTGCCTAAACCTAACCAGACCTTAATCATAGGGCATCATGATTTCGGAACAACAGCACTTCGGAACAATGGGTTTAATATGGTCGGAACAATGGGATGTCGGACCAATGGGTTGTCGGAATAATGTGTTGTCGGACCAATGTGGCTGTGTCAAGATGAATGTGTTAGTCTAAATGAATTGGTTCCAATTACAGGGGGATCACACTCCTCAGCCTACCCGGTAAGGTCTACTCCAGGGTGCTGGAGAAGAGGGTCCGGTCGATAGTTGAACCTCAGATTGAGGAGGAGCAATGTGATTTTCGTCCCAGATGCAGAACCGTGGACGAGCTCTTTACCCCCGCCAGGGTGCTGGAGGGGGCATGGGAGTTCGCCCAACCAGTCCATGTGTTTTGTGGATTTGGAGAAGGCTTACGACCGTGTCCCCAGGGGCATCCTGTGGGGGGTGCTCCGGGAGTATGGGGTTGGTGGCCCCTTGCTTAGGGCCATCCAGTCCCTGTACCGAAGGAGCATGAATCTGGTTCGCGTGGCTGGCAGTAAGTCGGACCTGTTCCCGGTGAGGGTTGGACTCCGCCAGGGCTGCCCTTTGTCACCGGTTCTGTTCATAACTTTCATGGACAGAATTTCTAGGCGCAGTCGAGTGGTGGAGGGTATCGGGTTCAGTGACAGGATCTTGTCTCTGCTTTTTGCGAATGACGTGGTCCTCCTAGCCCCATTGAACAGTGACCTCCAGCTCTTGCTGGGATGGTTCGCAGCCGAGTGTGAAGTGGCTGGGGTGAGAATCAGCACCTCAAAGTCTGAGTCCATGATCTTCAGCCGGAAAAAGGTAGATTGCCCTCTCCAGGTCGAGGGGGGAGGTCCTGCCTCAGGTGGAGGAGTTTAAGTATCTCGGGATCTTATTCACGAGTGAGGGTAGGACGGAGCGGGAGATTTACAGGTGGATTGGGGTGGCGTCAGCAGTGATACAGGTGCTTACCCAGTCCGTTGTGGTGAAGAGGGAGCTTAGCCAGAAAGCGAAGCTCTCGATAGTAGTATATAGGGACCAGCTTTGCGCGTGCACGCGCGTGCGCGCACGCGAAACGTGCGTGCGCATTATGAATTATGGATTATGAATTATGGATTATGAATAACAATCCCCCCCCCCCCCACTCCTGCAACCCCACACCCATCATATGAAATCCTGCTCTCATTGGTTAAACATAGCGCCTCCTTCTGGGGGTGGTTTCGAATGAAACCGTAGCTATTGGCTAATCAAAAGCCCCTCCTTGCGGGCGGATTATGAATAATAATCCCCCCCGCACCGGAAAGAGACGATAAGTGTTGATTCAACACCTCGCCTACCCCAGACCATTACGCGTGGTGCCGGGATGTCCGAAATCAGAGGAATTAAGAATGCACGGGTGTTTTTTACAACGACCCCCTGCTGTGCA